TCAAATGCAGCCCTCCTGCCTCAGCCTCCCCAGTGCTGGGATTTCGTGCCATCACACCAGCTGCCTTCTTGCTTTTTGGTCGAGGATGGAACCCAGAATCCTGCCCATGCTAGACACGTGCTCTACCACCTAGGTGTGCCCAGTCTGGGGACTTTTACATTCTGAAGGTATCTCAGATGAACCTCGGCTTTTTCATGGAAGATCCTTAACAGTGTGATGTCTGGACGTCTTTGAAGGTATTTTCTCTGGGAGGTGTTTCCATAAGGAAGGTCTTTCATCTCCCACAGAGCTGACAGCACTGCAGAAACGGGTCTACCACAGTGTGCAGTACTTCAAGTGCATCTTCGTTTTCAGTCGATGACGGCTATCTCAGCCCAGCCAGTTTCAGATTCACAAAAGAGCAACTGTTCTTCCACTGTAAGATCACAGAAGTAACCTAGCCAGCGGCCCGACAGTGCAGAAGCACACAGACACACCGTCCTGTCACCTGCACTGCCCCGGCAGGCCTGCCCTCGCCCCTTCCCATGCTTTCTGTGAGTCTCAGGGCTGCGCCTCCCGCGCTCTGCAAACCCAGCCCCTCCATCCCACGCATCCCGCAGCTTTGCCACTGCGCGGCAGCCCTGGCTGGCCACACTGGTCCCTGGACGTTACTCTTCCAAGTGTCCTTTCACTGGCCTGACGACACAGCTAGTATTAAAACACTGGGGGATCCACATGTAACTGTAAGTTCATGCAGCGCAATTCGGAAGAGAAACTTGGAAACAATCTACACCCCTAGTAGGTTAACAGATAAGTGAAATACGGCAGCCGGACCCAATGAGCTGTCTATAGTCATTCAAATGTGTGTGTAAACAGTATTCTAAGGTGCCAGGGATATAGCTCAGCAGCACACGTACTGGCAAGCACAAGGTCTTGAGTTTGACTCCTAATACCAAAAAAAAAAAGTATTTTAAAAATTACCCTGTTTTTAGGCCAGTCGTGGTGGCACACACCTGTAATCCCAGAACTTGGGAGGCTGAGGCAAGAGGACCGCTGCGAGTTTGTTCAAGGCCAGCCTGAACTGCATAGCAAAACCCTGCCTCAAAAAGACCAAAAAAAAAAAAAAGCAAAAACCCCTAAACGACCACAGTATAAAACATTAGCAGCTAAACAACATTAGCTTAACTGTACTGAGCTTTAAAAAGCACATCAAGTGAATATTTAAGAATACTAAATTTTAAGAGGAAGTTTTTTTGAGTTTCCTGAAATGATCACATTTCTATTACCAGAACTGCTTAGAAAAATAAGAGGGAAGCAGGGTGTGCCGAATGTCAAGCAAGTGTGAGCACACAGCACCTCTCCGTCTGACAAGGGCGGCTCGGTGAGTTCTGGGGGCGGTGCGGAGTTGAATGGCACGGGGCTCTGGTGGCTGCGGGCAGGTGTGACACCCGCCTGCAGGGAGCATGGGGCAGCGGCCTCACCCTCACCCTCACCAGAGCTGGGCCCTGCGCCTCCTTCCTCTCCCGAGGACCCTGGTCTAGCACTTCATAAAAGCACCACCTCAGCCACAGCACAGCACCAATCATGTTCCCTCTGGGCCAGCCAGTGCCTCATTTGTGAAGCTGCAGTTGGGAAGTCTGCAGTACTTTCAGCTCAATTTCAGACCAGAAGGCTGAGACAGGAGGATCGCTGTGAGTTAAAGGCCAGCCTGAAGTGGATAGGGAAACCCTATCTCAAAAAAAAAAAAAAAAAAGCCACCCAGATCAGGCCCCTATTTTTAGATGGAAAGACCCACCTAGCCTCTGAGAGGCTGAAGCAGGAGGATTACAAATTTGAGCCCAGACTGGGAAATTTAGTGACTTGGTAAGACTTTGTCGCACACACACACAAAGCTGGATGTGATGGCACAAACCAGTGAGCCCAAGACTCAGAAGGCCAAATCGGGAGGAATGCTGAGGTCAAGGTCAGCCTGAACTACATAATGAGACTGTTTTATAAACAATTTAAATGGGGCTGGGGATGTAGTTCAGTGTGAAGCCCATTCTATCCCATGTACTGCAAGAACAAGAAAAAGCAGAATTTTGCAGAAGTGGCAGGGCATGGAAGAGGAAACACAAGTGTATCTCACAGTTTAACAGAGATACGAGGAACTGTAACTGCAGCACCTGGGAGGCTGAGCTACAAAGGGAGTCCTAGCCAGCCTGAGCTACACTGAGACCATCTCAAAAGACAAACTGTTAAGTGAAAAAAATCCAGTGGAAAGTGTATAAAGAATTACCTTTAGCAAGAGGAAGTTTCTCAGAGAAAAGGCCCAGTGAAGTTTTAATCCATTGAATTACACAAAAACTTGGGGATACAAATTAGGGTTGACACTTTGAGACAGGGTCTCACTATATAGTTCAGGCTCTTTGAACTTACTGTGTAGTCCAGTCTGGCTTTGAATTCAAGGGCGATCCTCCTGCCTCAGCCTCCTGAGTGCTGGGATTACAGGTGTTCGCCCTACACATTCAGCTGAGTTGCCAACCTTTTGTCCTTTTTTTTTTTTTTGTACCAGAAATCGAACTCAGGACCTCGCACTCGCCAGGCAGGTGCTGTGTCACTGAGCTAAATCCCTGGCACCTAGCTGACAACTTTTTAACCAAATTTTTCACCAACAGTAAGGACTGAACCCAGGGCCGTAGCACTGAGCTACATCCCCAGCATCCTCCCCACCTTTTTGCCCAGGCTGGTCTTGAACTTGTGGTTCTCTTGCCTCAGGATCGCAGAATGCCCGGCCTCAACCAATCGTGTGGGGTTCTGGAAACTGGACCCAGAGCCTTCAAACTGAGCTATATCCTCATTAATTTATGAGACAGGTCCTTACAAAATCACTTACCTTGCCTAATAGGTTAAAACTTTGGGTACTCTGCCTCAGCCTCCCGGAGTACTGGTGTAAGAGGCAGGTACCACCACACCTGGCTTCCCTACTTTTCAACAGTTAGCAACCGTTAACAAACTAAACAGATTTCTGACGCACTTAGGTTCAAGGTGGTCAGCTGGTGCACTCCCTGGCCTTCCGAACAGGCACCTGCGCCTTGCAGTCTGCCACCACGCACGCCTGTGGTCTTCCCGCGCCACACATGGCCTTTTTCCGCTCGCTGTCAACTGTCCCTGAAGTCTTCTAATTATTGCTCTAATTCTAGGCACCGTAATCCCCGCTTTCAGCCCACTCACTCCCTTTCCGCCTCTTCACCCCCAAGCTGCCTCCCTCCCCAGAAACTCCACTTCTGAGATGACCCTGGGGGGAGGTGGGGTGGAGATGTAAGATCGATAGAAAATGTAATATAAACACACCCACAAAAGAAGCCTGGAGATACCTAAAAAGGGGCAAGCACAGTGACCTAAAAACGAAGATGGAGACATTTAAAGCTGCTGGCCAGGAGCACACCCTCAGCCAGAACACTGAGACCCTGCCTTCAAAAAAAGAGAACACTTATCATGTTCCATTCTTAGAAGTTGTTTTTTCTGTCGTAACATCTTAGATTTGTGGAGGGTGTGGGTGATGGCACCCAGGGCCTTTGCACTAAACTGTACCTCCTTTGCTATGTACATATCTTTTGTTGTTGTTGTTGGTACTAGGAATCGAATTCATGACCTCACATTTGCCAGGCAGGCACTCTGCTGAACTATATCCCCGGCCCCTCGTTCGTTTTCTGGACACAGCATCTTGCTATGTAATTCGGGCTGGCCTCGAACTCACTATGCAGCCTAGGGTGACCTCGAACTCAGTGATTCTCCTGCCTCAACCTCCTGAGGGCTGAGATTACAGGCATGGACCACCACACCTTGCTTCTTAAATATTTTTTTTAGACAGAGTCTCATGAAGTGGCTCAGGCAAGGCCCAACCTTGCAATCCTGCTTCAGCCACTCAGTGCTCATTAAAGATTTGTACTGTCTGAAGCGAAACCAGAGCAGTGCCGCTGTGTGCGGCAAAGCAAGTACCAACTTTCCATCTGACAACATTGCTCAGGGGAAGGGGGCGCATACAGTTCCTCCCAACGACTGCACAAATACAGCCTCACAACACGGAAAGAGCACTTCATCCTGCTTGTTCCCAGTCAGGAACAATTCCATCTCCAAGCAGCCGAAACTCGCAGGCCTGCTGTGAGCTGGGTATAAATACCCTAACAATCGGTTTTGCCATGTGAAATCATTAGGGTGGACTCTTGACAGTCTCTGCTAATTATTCGTATGAATGGAGGGAATTATCATCCGTGGACAATTCCGCGTGGTTATAGTTGCTAATTACTTTTTAGTGGTACTAGGGACTGAACCTTGTGTGACCTACACTTGTTGCTCCAGCCTTAGACTTTGCAACAGACCTACGAAGGAATGCCTGCTTTGCCGAGCCATCAAGCCTGCCTAACAAGCCCTCCTGCTGGTGGTTTCGAGCTGGCCACAAAAGAACCCTCCCCTAGTTGAGCCGAGATTTAACGTTACAGCTACACCACTTCATGTGAGCCTCACAAACATTATAAAATACTGGGCAAATATTTGACCCAAATGAAGAAACAGAGGCTCAGAAAAGCTCTAGCTCTGTGATCTTGAGTGAAAATGAGGATTAAAACCCGAGATTTTCTGGGCAATGGAGTCCTCTTCCCAGCACTATGCAACCAAAGCAGACCTGTGTGCCATATGGAAAAAGAATACCAGTACTGCTTCAAGTACGTCAACTTGACGCTAACTGTACCGAGACCCTGACCAAATAATGTTCTATTTGAAAGTGTTTAATTAGAACTAAACAATTTCAACCTGTCTTTAAATTCAAAGACCGGATACAATTTATCAGTCAGGTGACAGTATGCACATCAGTATGAAATCTGTCAACAATTTTATCTACCCAGTTCTTGTTTAAAATAATGTGAAGACTTAATTATTCAGAGATGAGAATCCACAAACAAGATATAAACCATTTTCAGGGGAAAACATGCATGCATTTATTTTTAAGAATTCCCAATAAGGGGGGAAAATTCAACATCTTTAAAAATGTATTTATTTTTTTAAAAAAATCAGTTGTGTACAAAAGTGTTTCGTAGTTTTTAATTCTCAAGACAAATACCCAACCCTCCACCCACAGCCCACCCTGCTTCAATGGTATGTCTGTAACCCGCCCCTTGTCCCCGTACAGGAAATGAATGGCTCAGAACAGACCCTCCTACAGAGTTATCATCACTAACAGACTGTTCAGAGATCGAGAGAAGCTAACACGCAAGGCTCTTTCTCAGCGAGGTTAATGAGAATCCCTACAATGGCAGTAGACTTCCAGCAGACACCACAACAAAGCACCATCAATTGCTGAAAGCTAAAAAATAGATTATTTTCAATAGTATTTCATTTTCTATCGGAAAATTCTTTAAATAACATTAAATAAGTCTCTTTTCCCCCAAAGAAATAGTCTAGCTTTTATTATGATGCCTGTAAAAAGTAGGTTACAGCAAGCAGATAAGGATCGTTCACAGCACAGTGCAATGACTTCTATCCACTCACCTCGGACCAGACCAGTAAGCTGTGCCACACCTGATTATATATAGCAGCATGGTTGAAATAACCAAGCAAAGGTGGCACATTCACCACTTACAGTTTTAGGTGAGGATGCAGGTTTGAGATTAGATCAGTCCAATAAAGCAGTAACAAAGCAGGACAAGGGAGCTAGCAACCCTCCCCTACCCTTCATGCCACAAAATTTTTCATCTATATTGCAAATACAATGTGTGACATCATTTGCAGACCCTAAAGCAAAGTCACACTTCGTTTGGAAAAAGGCTATTTATCAGTATACTTCAAGTTGCCATCTTCACAATGATAGCAACTAGTTAATAGTGTTTCAACTGGTACTAAAAGAATAGAAATACAACTTTTTGGAATCAATGGTTTGTACCCTGGAAGTGGAATTCCTTGGAACTAGAAAAAGTGACTAATACAACATCAGTTTGTAAAAGTTCACAAAATAAAGTTAACTGTAAACAAACAACTTCCTTTTTCATTTCTAAATACTGTTTCCTCCTATGTACAAGAATGGTATACCTGGCTCCAGCTACTTTCTGCCAGAGTCTACTTAAATCTTTAAATCACAACAAAAGTTCTTTATTTCCTGTTTCTACATAGAATTAGGAAAACATTACCATACCTCTAACTGCAGCATTTTAAAAGCTCCAATCAGGCATACACTTGTAGTCCAGATCTGCTTTTCACATTGGCAAACTTATGAAGCAGCCTAAAGAGTGATATAATATGCTGCATTCAGTAGCGCAGGCACAAGCAAACTCTTAACTGCCAATTCTTTCTGACAGATACTTTAAAAAAAATTATTTTGCATAGTTTTAAGTGCCGTCAACAATCATAAATGAGAAAATTTTTGAAAAGAAGACCCAAAAACCCCCTCAATCTTACTTTCACTTTATAGCTTATTTTTCTCAGAAACAAAATACTCAAGATTGCAAACATACATATCCTTGGAGGTGTTTTCTGTGTTTATGTGAAACATAGTCACAATTCTAAACATTTCAGAGCCAACTCAGAGCATCAAATTTAGTAGCAAGTTCCTCAAATACGTATATACTACTGTATGTTTGAGTCTCAAACTGGATTTCATTCCTTCATTCATTATCATACAACTAACTGTACCCTTTACGTTAGGCACTAGTCAGGAAAGAGACCGGATAATAGAAACCTATCAGAGTATCACCGACTTTTAGCAAACCTGCCTGCTCTAAATGGGAGTTCTTTTTTTAACCATAATTTCTGAGGGCTCTTAAAATGGATGTCCCAAAACACTGAGAACTATAAAAATAACTTTCACCAGGGTACTTTCTCCCTAGGCCGAAACTCTTAGTGTCCTTTCCCCAAGCATACTGAGGACCAGAGGAAAAAAGCAATCCACTCAGTTGTTGTGTTTGGGGAGCTAAATCTGTATCAAGGCTGTGGGGGAGGGAGGGAAAAAAGGAAAACAAAGATAGTGGAAAATGTACCAGAAAGGAAATAAAGATTATCATCACATTAAATGTACATAAGGGAAATAAATTTTTACAATGAAAAATTCATTATGTAGAACCTGTCGAACTAAACACTGCACTTTCCAATTACCTGGGCACTAGAGCTGCTGAAGTACAATCCCATGAGTAGATGCCTCGCCAGTGTGCATACAGATCAAAGCAGAACAGAGCTGCTTCCAAGAGTGGCGTGTGTAATGCTTGACAACAGTAACCACTGTTTTCTCTTTTGTCTAACCACAGACAATATACCCTGATAATATAGGTGAATAGTAAACAGGATGTGTTTGATATTTTAAAAAATCCAAATGTTACTAGTATTACCAAACCACCCTCCACTATATAAAATTAATTCTAACCAACAAGAAGCAAAACTGTCTGTATTTTCACAAAATCCCACAACTCAAAAAGTACAAGATTTTAACTAGTTAAAATAAATAAAGAAAAATCTTGTTTCCTTTGGCATCTTTAGAAAATAACTAACCTACAACAATTAAGGGCTGTGATTATGCTTAAGCAAATATGGGGGAATAAAACAGCAACTTGTGTTTAGTATGCAATTTAGCAACTACAAGAGATTATTTTTACTTAGGAAAACCTTAAGTCTTTGGAAGAACCTTCACATCTTTAACATTATATTTAATATTGGTTTCTTTTATTGCTTTTAGCATCAAGATTATTGAAAGGTTGAATGAAGTTATACTGACTTAATAGGCTCAAATATTACTTTCCAAACACTTAACAATTATAATTTAAGATAAAACTTGAAGAAAACCTTTTATGACTTTCAAATTACAATCTTACTTTAGTCTGATTCCATTTTTGTTATTTTGCATTGGTCCTCCAAATTTAATGATTATATTTATATGTATAGAACTGCCTGCAAAAATCTACTTCAACCTTCAGTCAAGTTGAGTGTTTGAGCTTGCAAAACTAGGAACTTTCAAACTTCTGAACTTAGAATGAAATGTAACTTTAATATGAATAAAAAGTCTGACTATGTACAAGAGAAGGTAAAGTTTTCAATTCTCATTGTCAGAAACATCATAAAGAAAGCTAGATTTATAACACACTTCTATTCCTATGTGCATCTGAAGTATGTACAGTAAAACACGAACACAGCTTCCATGTGTCAATACGGGAAAGTGCAAGCAAGAGTGGCTTTTAAAGTATCTGATAAAGCAATTTTCATAAAGCCCAAAATTAAGCTAAAAACTACTGGCAACAGTGGACTGCATTCTTCAACGTTCTCCAAGAAAATTTTATCAATTGAAAAATCAATGTCAAATTCACTGCAAAACTAACTTGGGTCCTTTCTTTATATGTGGGAAAACCGCAACATCGAAGTATTTACTGTTTTTGCAAAAGAAATAATATTGGCAGCTCCATTCTTATATTACTGACTTACACAGGGAAACTTTTGAGTGTTTAAATAACTACGACGAAACATTCCAAACCTTAGATCTAGAAAGGAAGTCAGGGATACTTTGCTTGGCACATTTCCCCACCAAAAAGAGAGAAATCTATTGTTAAATTATTAGCTGTGTGTGGTACGGGAAAAGTAGATACAGTGCCCCAACTTGTCAACTGGGACAAAAAGGCTCTGACTAGGTCACCATCTTCATTTCTGGATAAATCTCATATTTACGAGTTTTCTAATGCTTAAAATGGTGGTCTTTTCAGCTACCCATTCTAAGAAGTCAAGTACAAGCATGCAAGTAAATTCACAGGCACAGAGGATCCATGTTAAAAACAGTTAAGGTAGCTGTGATGCAACACCAACAACTTGAATGGCCCTGACACACTCAAAATATTATCTTAATTATTCAACAAAACCCTGAAGCAAACTCTTGCTAGTCTTGTTACACCGCTAAACACTAAAGTAGCATGGTTTTCCATGGTTTTAGCTTAGCTCAAAGAATTTTTACACTATTAAGGAAGAAAAAAATTAAAAGTATTTCCCCTTTTTAAATTTACACAGACGTTTAATTAGCTTTATTTACAGAGCAGGGATTTTTTTTTTCAGTCTCCAATGGTTGCCTAGATAACATCATTAGGCAAGAATGCCAGTTTAAAAGAAATCTATGCAGAATCCTAAAAATAACAGATGTTGATGCTCCTGGAGAAGAGGCAAGCTTGACTATCAGCAGCTCTTTCTATGCCTCAGTTACTCAGAAGCAATTCTGTTGCAGTCTCTACATCCCATGATTTTGAAGACAAGGCCACTATTACTGCATTCTGCAGAAAGAAAAAGGGAACAACAAAAAAATCAAATCTCAAGGAAACATTTTTAAAATACTGATTACTGTCTTTATATTGAGAAATCATACTTAAGTTTCTTTTTTTTTTGGTACCGGGAATTGAACTCAGGACCTTGTGCTTGCTAGGCAGGCACTTGTGCCACTGAGCTGTATCCCTGGCACTCCTTTTTTTTTTCCACACTTAGTTTCTTTTCAATACATTGCCTTGTACTTGCAATGCATAAAAAGCAAATACCAACAACTAGAAGAAAAAAAAAAAAAAAAACTACTGATTTTAGTAGCCAAACTTATTTATACAAGGTTTTCTCGCATTGTTAAACCACTTTTCCCAGTCACAGATTTGGGAGCAGTAACTTAAAAATCAACATATATATAGTGTGTGTGTATACACACACACACACACACACACACACACACATGCACGCGCATATCAAAACAATCTGTGAAGTACTTACCCTATCAAAGCCCATAGCACATAGGTTTTCTATTTTTTTGGTGTATTCTGGACTAGAAACTGGTGCTCCAGCATACACGTGTGCCCAAAGTCGAGCTGTCTGTTTGAACATTTCAGGATTTTGTTTGTACTATATAGGGGAGAAAAAAAAATCAATTGACATCATAATATTTTATAATATTCAATATAGTAGCTCACTTCTTAATTGGCTAAGACCCTGCATTTTCTTTTTCTTTTTGGAGACAGAGTCTCGCTAAGTAGTCCAGGTTGGCCTGGAACTCACTATATAGCCCAGGCTGGCCTTGAACTTGTGGCAATTCTCCTGCCTCAGCCTCCCACGTGCTGAGATTACAGGCATGCACCACCAAGCCAGGCTGACCTTACTTTTGCTAAATGAAAGGAGTTTATATTGAAAATGTGATGCCCTAGAGCTGCAGGCATATAGCTCAGTGGTAGAGTATATGATTATTAGCAAGCACAGGCTGTCAGTTCAATCCCTAGGACTAGTAACTGCCCAAAAGTAAATTAAAATACATAAAATGTGACTGGCTTTCCTTTACAAACAAGCTGTGTCATTTGTCATTCAAGAAAAAAGTGGTTTTTTTGCTTTGGTTTTGTTTTTTTGTACCAGGAATCTGAGGACCTTGCACTTGCCAGGCAGGTGCTTATGCCACTGAGCTATCTCCCCGGCCCAAGAAAAAAGTGCTTAATGTGAAGCTGTGATTCACAAACTGTACTGATAAAGACAAAGTTAATCCAGCTAGTGTCGCACTCTGAGAGGCTAAGGTGGCAGGACTGCAACTTGGAGATGGCTGAGATGATTCAGCAAGACTCTCTTCACTCTCCAAAAAAAGCGGCCAGGCATGTAGCTCTAACCTCCAAATTCAATTAGGAGAAAACAATTAGGAAAAAAACTAACATTAAATGAGGTGAAGTATTAGAGATAGCCCAACCCCAAACAGCAGCAAACACTGCTGAACTAAACATAGAGTTACTATAAAATTGTGTAATATTAGCTAAGAAATATGACCAATTCGGGTACTATCCACAGTCCAGACTAAGAGTACAACTAGATTTTGCTGTTTTCCTACAACTCTGTTAGTTTAGGGAATACCAAGCAAAGTCCTAACTTTACCGTATTTTGAGATGACCATGAAATCATTAAAAAAACAAAAACAACTTCACTATTTGTTAGACAACTCTCTGGGATAACCATGAACTTAGTAAAACAATGTGTAAATTAAACAATTTTTGTTCAATTCATTCTAGTATTTCTTTTCAAAGTATATTTTAACGTTGACAAGTCTCTAGGACATTAAAGTGTCAGATCATTAACAACAAGAAAACAAGTAAAATTACTGAACTACTTTAGGTACTAAAAGAAAACTTTAAGTAGAACCTCAACCAAAGATGAAATCAAAGTCACCCTTTTGACTACCCAATATGAATGAGCAGCATTAAATATAAAACACAGAAATAATTCCAAGCATTCTGGGCAAATTAACAGAACACATTATCAAGGATATATAAAAAAAAATTTACAAGAACAGGGAACAAATAAAAAGATAAGAGTCAAAGAAGTTTGCTAAGAGAAAGTTTCCTTACAGAAGATGTATAGTAGAGTAGAATGGTAATAAAAACAAATGCAATCTTGAAAAAGCTAAGCTTTAAGAATAATTCTGCCAGGTGTAGTGATGCAACCTGTCATCCCAGCACTCTGGTAGGCTGAGGTAGAGGATCACAAGTTCAAGCCCAGCCTGGGTAGTTTAGTGAGACACCCTCTCAAAGTTAAAACAATAAAAACACCAAAAGGTCTGGAAATAACTCAGTATGAAGGCACTGATTTCAGTCTACAGTGCTATGCCAAAAAAAAAAAAAAGTAGGCTATAAAAGATGTGAGGGCTGGGGATATGGCTCAGCAGTATAGCACCTGCCGGTAAGCATGAGGCTGTGAGTTCGATTTCCGGTACCAAAGAAAAAAGAAAGATAAAATATAAAAGATGTGAAACTGGGTTTGTACACAATTCAAATCATAGAAAGAGAAGGGAGAGGGACACAGACAGACACAGGAAAGAGAGGAAAACTCCAAAAGCTGTGACTCGGTTACAAAATTAAATGAGTGTGATGATATCATACAACAATAAAACCTCTTGTGAGGTTTAATGTTCCACATTCACTTTTAGCAAGTTTGTGTTGAAATATCAAAGGAGCATTCACACAGAGATGTGCAGTTTCCAATACGCTTTTATGTTCAAAAGTCAAACCTATGTATTTTATTAATGTACAGGTCATGTCAGTGTAGATGTGAATGTATATAATGGAAAGTAAAGAACAACTTCACAATCAGTTAACTACAGTTAAAGGAAAAAAAAAAAAAAAAAAAAACAATGTAGAAACTAAGGGACAACTCTGACAATAAGAATATTCCCAGCACTCTGGGAGGCTGATGCAGGAGAATGGCAAATTCAAGCCCAGCACTGGCAATTTAGCAAGACCCTGTTTAAAAAACTTCTTTTGTTTTTGTTATGTTTTGTTTTGTTTCTTGAGACAAGGCCTTTCTCTGTAATTTAGGCTGGCCTTGAACTCTGCGTAGCTCAGACTGGCTGCCTCCAACTCACAGCAATCCTCCTGCCTCAGCCTCCCAAGTACTGGAATTACGGGTATGTGCCACCACACCCAGCTCAAAATAAAAATTAAAAAGGACCAGGCACACACCTGTAATCTCAACACTTCAGGTAAGAGGATCACCTTAAATTCAAGGCCTGGACTGTATAATGGGATCCAGTCACAATCAATCAATCAATCAATCAATAAAACAATATAAAATAAAAATTGAAAAAGGCTTGGGAATGTTGCTCAGTGCAAAGGCCCCAGTACCACAAAATGAGGTGGAGAGGTGCTCAGTAAAACAATGGCTTAGAGAACAGGTTGGCAGAATACTTCTTAGGGGGACCAATGCTAGTTAACTTCAACCTTTCAAACAACCAATGTTGTCACTGCTGTTGGAAAGCAAACAAGTGGGTATGGGTATGTTTTAATTAAACATTATTTATAAAACAAGCCAGCTGGACCATAATTTGTTAATCTTTTACCTTAAACTGATTAAAGATCAAAACTGTAAAATATTTATTATGTTTAGCAAGTCAAAAAGTCACCTTTAATGCTATTCTGTCACTTTAGTACCACAGAGGGAAGTGATTAAAAATTATCACAAGAGATCAGGGCTGACAGCAGGGATAGGAGACCGACACACCACGATAAAATGTATGCAGTAAAATGCCAATCAGAGGGTCTGGACAGGAGGTATATGCATGTACACTCTTCTGACTGTGTGCATTTGGAAACTCATACTAGTACAAAAACCATGAATCCAATTAAACTACTATGTTTAAAATCCAAAGCTTAAAAAAAAAAAATCCAAAGCTTAAACTTTCACTATTACATCTGACAAAATAATCTTACTACAAGGAAGAAAACCACTTCCAAATTTAGTTTCAGAAGAGTATGCTCCTGTTAACACAGCAAACCACTACACAGAGACACCTGCAGGTATGAAGAACCCTTTCCAAAGCGGTCACCTTACCTGATTTGCTACTACCGCATCTTGTGGGTCATCTGGTTCTGCAGCTGCCAATAGTGCTTGCAACGACAATAATACTGTGCGGAGAGTCATTGCTGCCGCCCTAAATTTTGAAACAGGAAAATATCTCACTTACAAGGGCTCTGAATAGCAAAAACAAAGAGGATGTTTTCTGAGTAAAATAAAAACCTATTAGAACTTCCCCTTTTTTCTCTATACTATGCCCCCCGCATGACTAGAGATTAAATCCTGGGCAATGCATATACTACGCAAGCACCCTAACAATGAGCTACATCCCCAGCCCATATAATGAAATTATTTTCTTTTATTTTTCTGAGACTGACTCCCATTACACAGTTCAGGCTGGCCTCCAACTCATGGTGATCTCCTCCTGCCCCAGTAACCCACACTGTTGGGATTACAGGGGTGTGAAGCCACACCTGCCTCATTTTCTCTTTATCTGGGGGCCTGGAATTAATTTCTGCCTCCAAGTCAGATACATAATGATAAAGTAAACCCAGCTTATTCCAAATAAGCTTTCTTTTTGTCCTTTAGATTTTACTTTTTGATTTCTTTTTTCCTGGTACTGGAGATTGAACCTATGGCTTCTGCATGAAGCTATATCCCCAGCCCTTTTTAACACTCTGAGACAGGTCTTGGTAATTGAGTAGCCTAAACTGAGCTCAGACTTGGGATTCTCCTGCCTTAAATCTTCCAAAGTGCCGGGATTACAGGCATGCGCGGCTCACCAACTTAAATTTTTATCCATTTTTCTAGATATAAAGTTAAACTCTTAGTACTAATAGCTTGCAGACCTTTCTTCTGATGGCACTATAAAAACTAATAAGATACTATGAACAAATGTGCCACATTTTTAAGAAGAGTTTGCATCATTCCATAGCATTCTGAAATAGGATAAGCTTTCTGCTTAAAGTAAATAAAACTAGGAGTGGGTGGGCATACACCTGTAATACCAACACTCTGAGAGACTGGGGCAGGAGGAGCTCAAGTTTGAGCCTAGCCTGGGCAACGTAATCAGACCCTATATCAAAACATTAAAATAAAAAATAAATCATCCTTCTAAGTATATTCATAAAGAAAATATATCTTTACAAAGTAAATATTTACATATAAAATGATTTCTACTTATCTAGAATGGATTCTTTGCATTCGTGTTAAAAATGTGTTAATTTTCACCAATCAGTACTGCAGCTTTTGTACAGTGCTCCGAGCAGCTGTGAAGTGTACTGAGTGATAAAGCTTAAGTCACAAAGACTACTCTACACCAGAGAAGTAAAATCACTACCACATTCATGCTCTATATTCTGGTGTATTAGGAAAAAATTAGTTCTTTAAAATGCTCTTGGAATACATTTTTTTTTATTTACAATTTATACTTTAAAGAACTACAGGACTTGGGAAAAAACTGCTGTGGTGTTCAAAAATTTGGTGAAACGCTAAGTTAGCACTTAAAAATAGTACTTGTAAGGACTTTCACATAGCTATGCAGTTTTATGTAACTGAATGCCTAATTCTGAAAGAAGGGTGAGAAGTGAGAAACATTTTTCTAGACCAAGGTGCTAAATTTCCTGAAAGGTTACACAAGTAATTTTCAATAAAGATTTGTAATGTAGTTAATATGGATCATATTCTTTTAGGAGAGCGGGTCAAAACGTAAGTCAAATTCAATGCTTTTTTTTTTTTTTTGAGACGTCACTAATTCAGGATGGCCGTGATTTCACCACAGCTGGCCTCAAACTTGCAGAGATCCTCCTGTTTCAGCTGCCTGAGTTCTAGGATTACAGGCATGGACTATCACGTCTGGCTCTTTCTGTTTGTTTTCTGAGACAGTTCCTGCTATGCAGCTGAAACTGACCTGGGACTTGGTATGTAAAGCCAGGCTTACCTCACACTCCTGATCCTCTTGCCTCAGTGTCCTGAGTGCTGGAATTATATGTACGTACCACCTGCCCAGTTTGAAATCCTCGAAATGTTCTCTTTACAAAGAGTACTTTTTTAGGAAGGGGTTTGAAGCCAGAGCCTTTGCACTGCACTACATATTCAGCCTGTTTTTTGTCTATTTATAGCTTTTTTTTCCCCCTTACAGGGAATCGAACTCACGACCTTGCGCTTGCCAGGCAGGTGCTGTGCCACTGAGCTAAATCCCCAGCCCCTGTTTATAGCTCTTTGAGATAGGGTCTTGCAGTGTAGCTCAGGAGGGCCTCAAACCCACACCAGTCCTCCTGCCTCAGCCTCCAAAGTCCTGGGATTACAGGTGTGCACCACCATACCTGGTCTTTTAAAATTTTTTTTCTTTAGATCTTTGAGACGGAGCTTTACTATGTAGTTCAGGCTGGACATGAACTCACTGTGTACAGTCCCAGGCTGGCCTCAAACTCCTAGCGATCCTCCTTGCCTCAGCCTCCAGCCTCCAGAGTGCTGAAATTGTAGGGGTGTGCCACCATACCCGGCCCTCCTTTTTATTTTCTTCAAACATGATCTCACTATGTGGCAAAGCTGCCCAGGCTAGACTCAAACTTACGATACTTTTGTCTCAGCCTCCTAAAGAGCTGGGATTACAGGTGTGCACCACTACACTCAGCTAAGCAATAAAATTTCTTTCAATGAAATGCACCTGAACAGCAAATAAAAACCTCACTAAAGGGAAGCAGCTCATACTAAAAGTTATTAAACATACAAGTTATTTTATATTAAAATAGAACTACAAAAGCATGTAAAAGATTTTTATAAATCTTGGCAACGCCTTGCTAACATTATAAAGCCAGCCTTATACAGCTCAACAAAGCAATTAACACTTAAAAGTAATTCAAAAGGGATCAAAGCCCTACAAGTATGAGCTAAAACTGGAAGAAAACATAGACAGAAAGTTTTATGAGACTGGATTTGACAAAGATTTCTTGGTTATATAAAAGACAGGAAAAAAAAAAAAAGGGAAAATAGACAACTGTATCAAAATTAAATCAACAGTTAGAATACAATCCATGTAGCTGGGTGTGGTGGCGCATACCTGTAATCACAGAACTCAGGAGACTGAGGCAGGAGGATCGTTGCGAATTTGAGACCAACCTGGGCTACAAAGTGAGCTCAAGGCCAGCGTGAACTACATAGCAAGACCCTGTCTCAAAAAGACAGACAGACAGACACACATACACAAACAACCCATGTAATGGAGAAAATATTTTCGAACCATGTATTTGAAAAAGACTAATATCCAGAATATTAAGAACTCATCCAAGTCATTAATAAAACAAAAACCCTGATTTTACAATGGGCAGGGGTGGGAATTATGTGTAACTCAGTGGCAGAATGCTTATGCTTGCTAACGTGAGTAAAGGAGGTTGAGGCTGGAGGATTGCAGCAAGTTCAAGGGTAGCCTGGGCTATATAGGAGGTCAACCTGAACTATACAGTGAGACCTTGTCTCACAAAACCAAAAGAAAAACAAAAAAATAACCCACCCCAAATAAAAAAGAGTAAAGCCTCAGGCCAGCCAATTCACGGTATGGGGATGGGAGGTCTCCACACGTTTCTACAAAGAGAATTAAATGATCACTGGGCACATGAAAACATGTTTACCACCACTACTCATTAGGGAAATGCAAAATAAAAACAAACAAAAGAACCCAGAAATTAGTGCTCACCTAGAATGTGGAGAAAGTGGAACCTCTGTATATTGTACACAGGAATGTAAAATGGGACAAACACTACAGAAAGAGTATGACAGTTCCTCACAAAATTAAGCATAGCACTGACATGATCAGCCATTCCACTTCTAAATATATACCCAAAAGAACTAAAAGCAGGAACTCAAAGTTATTCATACATCCACATTCATGGCACCATTATTCACCACGGCCATAAGAGGAAAGTAGTAAGTTTCCATCAATGCAGGAATGAGTAAACAAAATGCTTAGCTTCTGCAGACATCACAAGGGAATATTATTTAGCCTTAAAAAGGATTTGGGAGCTGAGGCTATGTAGTTCAGCATAGGGTGTTTACCCACCATGCATGAGGTCCTGGATTCAAACCCCAATACCCCAAAAGTAAGTAATTTTCAAAAGGCTGGTCCCACACCTTCAATCTCAGGACACTGGGAGGCTGAGGGAGGAAGTTCGACCCCAGCTGAGCAAATTAGTGAAACTGTCTCTCTAAATAAAAAATAAAAAAAGGGCTGATGCTGTAGCTCAGTGTGAAGAGCATGTGTTGAATTCCCATAGGTCATGGTGGTGGGAGGAGGTGCTGACATTTACTACAATAGGGGTGAAACCTGAAGACACAATGTTAAGTGAAATAAAGCACACATAAAATGGAAAATGTTGTATAGTTCCTAAGGAGGCTGAAGCAATAGGATCACTGCTAGTGTGAGACCAGCCTGAGCCACATAGTGAGTTCAAGGCCAGCCTAAAATAGAGAGACTGTCTCAAGAAAAAAAAAAAAAAAAAAAAAAAGTTCCACAAATATAAGGTAACTAGAATTCTACAAATAAAAAGTAGAATAGTGGCCGAGCCTGGTGGTGCACACCTGCAATCCCAGCACTCCAGAGGCTGAGGCAGGAGGACTGGCGGGAGTTTGAGACCAGCCTGGGCTACAAAGTGAGCTCGAGGCCAGCCTGAACTGCATAGCAAGACCCTGTCTCAAAAAAAAAGACAAAAAATAAAAGAATGGTGGCTGCCAAAGGTTGGGAGAGGAGGAAATGAAAAATAGGTTTTTTGGGGGGCGGGGCATACAGTACTAGGCACTGAACCCAGGGCCTTAGCACCTTTTTAAATTTTGAGACATGATCTTATATGTCACTAAGTAGACCGTAGACCAGGTTGGGCTTGACTTTGCAATTCTGCCTCAGCCTCTCAAGAGTGCTGGGATTACAGTATGTACAACATAGCATACTAGGAGAAGTTGCTTAATCAGGGTAGTTTCAGGGCTGTAAAATGCAGAGTTCTAGATACTGGATGCACAACAATATAAACTCAACACTATTCAACCGTATACTTTAAAAATAATTACGACAGACTGCGGCTTTTTCTTTCTTCCACAGCCCCTTGCACTCTGCCCTTTCACTCCCAGGACGTGAGTCTCAAGAAC